AAAAGAATAGTCTTTATCGTTACATGAATAAACATTGAGAATAATTTCACTCAAAAATATTTATTGCATTCCCAAGAGAATAATTTTATGATTACAAATCATAAGAGTATATAACAATCCAAACGATGTTTCAAGCCGTTTCAAGCCGATAATTCGAGCCGTTAAAAAAAAAAGGGTAGCGTCCCTTTTGCACCAAGATTTTCATCAATTTGAATTCGCGAAGCGTCGATGCTAAAATATCAATGAAAAGCTGTCGATAGCATCTCCAATATCGGAATATCGGCGAACGTCCCTAGCTGAGAGGACACCCCGTATGCAGAAACGCAATTCCCGGCCGGTATATATATACACACACACACACACACACACACATACGAGGCGCAAACACACACACACAACCACGCATACGCGCTCACGACACAGAATCGATCGAAGGGCGTCACACGCGTACGGATTTAAAGGGTCAGCGGCTTAAATGCACGGCCGGCGATGTACCGTTAATTGACAAGAACGGCCGTACACCTCCCCGTTCGCGTAGGAGAAAATCCGTACGCGCGACCGCCGTTCAATCTCGCTCGTACGCGTTCGATCGCGTTCGATCGTCCGTGTCTCACGGCGTAGCGTGAACGACGTAAGCTCGCGAGAAGGCGACGCGCCTGTGCGTCAGCCGACGAGACGGAGATGGGAAATGCGTGCCCGGTATGCATGCCCCTACAAATACGCACTACAAACACGTACGCTGCAACTGCTGGGACAGTATATGTGTCGCCTTTCAGCAACTCCCTTTCCTTCCTCCCTCCCCGCCCGCAATTCCGCAATTATCCAGTTTTCTTTGTCGCTATCTAGACGCGCGGTGATATTGCCGTCGAATGATTATGTGAGATGTATTGCGGATTTGACTCTCGTGAAGATGTATTTCACAATCAACTACGCCTATATTCACATATGTTTTTTCTTTTCTTTTTTTTAATTAAATTCGTATGCGTTTCAATGACGCAAACGCGCCTGCAGTTATCGTGCGTCTCGAAAATTTAAATGAGAAGAGGAATGCTCGCATCACTCGACTTTGTACCTCAACCGCTTCTTCGTGTGCTTCAAAAAAGATGTAATATGAATAAAAAAAAAAATAAATCAAATTAAATTCGTATTTCCCGGCTCCGTACTTTAATTTCTACTTTCTTCGTGCATCTCGAAAGATTCAACGTCTTTCTAAGAAAATAAAAATCTTTCAGATTGTCATCTTAAAGATTTCTACTTTCTCTCAAATTCACATTTCTCATTTCACTTGACAGTAGTAGCCGCTTGATTTGAAATTTGAAATTGGTCGAATTCTACTGTGATTCCCTCGCGCGTTTACGT